ACAAAAGGGTTGGTTATATCTACAGATCTGTCCGGTGGTGTGCCGGGATTGAGAGCTCTACTGACGCAGCTCGCTACCAAATCTTCGTCACAATGTGAACTGAATCAGATTGCTGCTGAGTTCTTTTCCGCGAGGACCATGGGGACATCGTAAGCAAGGGTATAGTATTGTAGGCCTGTAGGTGGCCTTCCAAAACACCACGCTGCTTGCAGTGAGTGAATCATACGCACATCAGTAGTGCGAAGTGGCACGAAGTAGTTCAGAGTGGCAAATGGCGATGGAGCAGCAGCAGCAGGAGGAGCAACAGGAATAGCAGCAGTAAGCATGGCCACTACCAGCATTAGCATCAGCACCCGTACAGTCATCATCAGCAACATAAAGTTCTGTTACTGTGCAAGAATGCTAAGCTTATGGTTCCCCGTCAAATTGAGGCAACAATGATTTCGTCACATCGGCGCGGAAGGCGATGGCAGGACTCGTCGCTCTATGTTCAGGGCATCACCTTACTAGTTTGTAGGGTATTGTAGGGTTAAGGGTCCGTAAAGCCTGCATTTGCGATTTCGGCTGGGGTCTTTGACGTCGTGCCTGTTTCGCGGTCGGGGGTGCCTTGAACCTTGCAGAAGCTGATGGAACCCCCATCCAAAACCCGCAAACTTAAACCTTATAAGACCGGGTCCGCTCAGCCTTCTACATCACCCCGGCCCTTTTCGGGTTCAGGGGGTTCAGCTGCAGATGCAGGCCAACCCACCAGGGGTAGTTTGCTTGGCGGCCGCTAGACCGCAAACCCTGAAGCGCATAGTCTTTATGACATACCTGCGCAAGCTTCATGACAGGAGCAGATGTGGCTGTGGTTTGTGCAGGCGCACCTGAGTGCTGACATACGCTTGCAATTTCTGTTGCTTGCGCAGATGCGTCTTTCTCTAGCTTAAAGCTGCGGGGCTTGGGGTCTTAGGGTTTTCGGGCTGTTGAAATTGTTGGTTTGGGTACTTCCTTCTCGGCCTTTTCTGACCGCCGAAAGGGCAGGTTAGGTCCCTCGCATATTAAGGAGCCCAAGATGGAATCAAAGGCCTGAGCAATAGCTAGTGTTTGTCTTGGGGTTTCTTCTTGAAATGAATCTGTAATCTTCCATGTGCCCCTAACCCTATTCCAATTCCATGCCCTGTAGAGAAGTCCACCCGCAGGCACACGCTTTGGCACATTGCTGTCCGAAAATGAACAGGGAGTAGGGGTACCCTCTCTTGGGGTCCTTACAATAGGGATCCTACTATTTGGGTACTATGTTAGGGTCCCCTATTTGCAGTAACTGCTAACAGCCCCAAAGATGGCACATTCCTTCAGTTATCGCACGAGCCATGCTAGAAAGGCATCCTTCCTTGCAGGCGACGGGCGTATCTACAATTTGCAAGCCAAGCACTTTCTCAAAACTACTTCAAGCAATCCGCGTTCCCCAAACCCAACACCATGGAGTTTTGCATCCTGGCACTCTGCAGCTTGGCAACGCTGCCTCTCCTGCTAAACCCTTCTAGAAAGGGGGGAAACGCATCACAACATCAGGTTAAAGCCTCCATAACTGAAGCTAGGGCTATATTCCATAATTCGGGATATTGCTCTCCCTGGCTGTGTATGTAACTAATCTACAGGGCATCGGCACTCCATGGAAGATGCTTCCTTGCCAACCAGGAAACCCAGTTGCCATGTTGGAGACAAGGACTAAGTGGTTATATAGGGGTCTCCTTTTTTCCTCTTTCTGAGCGTCTAGAGTCTATTTATGGCGTATGATTTGCTTCGAAGATGCTCCAAACCCTTTGGCCCGCAACCCCGCCAGAACTTGCTTCAGACCGCTTGTTGCCACGGCTTTTTGCCATGAGAGGGCAACCCGGTTGAGTGTGAGAGCACTACCGATCCGAAACATTCACAGAGAAAAGTGAGTCCTAAACCCAGGGGCGACCTCGACAGAGTCTGTCGATCGCACTCACCTCCGCCATGCACTCAGCACTGGGATTTGTGCAGTGGACGACGTGTGTGATTGTGTTTGTTTATGTATATACGTGTGGGTTTGGGTTGTGGCGTGTATGTGGGCGTGCGCGTGTATGTGTGCGTGTGTGTCACTGTGTGTGTGTGTGTGCGTGTGTGCACGCTGTGATCGTGATCTAATTGATTCGGCTGTTTATGGGAGGGAAGACCCTGCGATGGTGCATGGTCAGATTGACGAGGCACATTGCTTCGTAAGCAGGGCATAAGCAAGGTCAGAAGCATAGTAGACCCAACTAACTAGGTTACTTGTAACTTGTAACTTTACTTCAAAATCTCCTTGCCACTCCATGATCTTTCGAGTAAGTAACGGCTTTCGCTGAGAATCGCGGTGCCCGGTAGCAAACAACACAAGGCATCCCATTCTAAAAGCCCCTACCTCAAACATATAAATAAGGCTTATGCCCTCAACAAGAACCTCGCCCAGCATGTCCCAGAGTGAGCGCCAAAACCCTCTCAGCCAAAGTCGTGCTCCGAACAAAGTCTCGATGTGTTTCAGCCATTTGCCTTACAACTGCGGTTTTTTTGTTAATGATTGTTAATGTGTCCTCTCCCTTGTTTACGACGACTCCGCAGGACTTTCGGTGCTTCTGGCAAATTCGGGGTGGAGCGCTTCCGCTGTGGGGCTTCAGGGTCAGACTTTCGGGTTCCGGTGCAGTCCAGGGATCTCTAGGGTTGTGGGCACTCTTAAGGGACTAGAAGTAGAAGGGGGAATGGCTGAGTTTAATATATCTACCAACCTCACACCGAGGGCAGGGAGTTATAGTTTAATAGAGCTCTTAGTAATACCTTGCTGGAGTGTTAACAATAAGTATAACAACAAAGCTACGGATAACGGTAGTATACAATAGCATTTCAAATTTACCTTGGAGATACCCCCGAGGGACCCAAGCGCCGTGCCCAAAGCCATGGCCAAGGTGTGGATCAAGATGCCTTTGTGGGGCAGGCAGCGCCAGAAATCGCTGATCTTGGCAGAACCTTAGGGTTTAAGATTCAGGCGCCGAAATCTGCAATTAGAAGGGGGTTTGGGGGTATCTTAAAGTATTAGTATACTGCATGATACCCATAACGACTCCTGCAATGCTGAATCCCAAATCCCCACCTGAGCCACGGCCATCCCAAGCTAGTACCCAAAACTGAGGCCGCGAATGAATCCCGAAAGAGTTTTGGCACTCACTGTGTAAGTCGCCTGAGCCTTTAAGTAGAGCCTTAAACCCGAAACTCCTGCCTGTCCAAAGCACTGCATGCTGCAGGTGGTTCTCATGGGAAAGCAGCTGAAGGCCTTGGTTTCAAGGGTGCAGAGCCGCAGGGCAACAACGTAGAGGCCTCAATAATTACCTATACCATTTTGGGGGCTCCTCATTAGAACTCTAGTATAATGGACCCCAAGATCCGATTCTAATCAGTAAGGCCCCTAGAAGAAGGCTACTGGACTGTACAGTTGGCTGTTGCATGAAGCCTGGCACGGATTGAGGGGATTCCGCTCGGAAGGACAAATCCTTTCTCGAAGATTGCGTAGTAGTAGTAGTAGTAGTAGTAGTAGTAGTAGTAGTAGTAGTAGTAGTAGTAGTAGTAGTGGTAGTGGTAGTGGTAGTCGTAGTCGTAGTCGTAGTAGTAGTAGTAGTAGTAGTAGTAGTAGTAGTAGCAGTCGTAGTAGTCGTAGTAGTCTCTGCAGCTGCTAAGGCTATTGCTTCTGGCATTCCTATGGTTTCTACTACAACAACAACTACTACACTCCTCGTAATGCTACCGTCAATGCCGAACCCCAACCCCGAGATGCGAAAACAACTTCTGGACGCGTCGAATCCTGCAACAAAGCTCTACATGTACCGTATTCAGATCGGGAAAGGTTCGCAGCGAAGAAACGCTCATGTTTGTTTATCAGGGCTCAGTTCCGAGCTCCGACTCTCGCCAGCGACTTCAAAGTGTCAAGATCGGAAGGGGGGTTCGGTTTTCCGTTGTCTCGGGGTTTGCAGTAAAGGGATGCTTGTAAAACGAAGGCCCTTGTCTCTTTGGGCCTGAGCCGTGAACACATCCGAGCCGAAACCACCCAACGTGTCAGATTTAATTAACAGCAAGTCTGTGGAAGCAGTCAGACAAAATCACTACCTCATCTCCCCACCCTCATCATGTATGATACACCCCGCCCGCATAATGGATATTGCAGCATCGGTTGAAAGTTTGTAGCCCTGGGAATCCACAGGTTCCCGTGGTGGTGGTGGTATACGCTCCGGGCGCGGTGGTGCTTCCCTGGAGTCACATTCTCAGCTTCTATCAGGTGCATCTTTATAAGTGCTTCAGAGGGTCTTGTGAAGGCAGTAGCACGAGAAGGTTCGCTTTTCGTGTTGGGCTCTCGGATTTCCACACGAGAAACTCGAGGCTGCGAAGTGCGAAGCGGAAGGATTCAAGACAAGCTTACCCTTGAGTCACGCTGGGACGATGGGACAACTTATGTTGTATACTACTTTGCCCCCAACCCCGAATCCTAACCCCAGCGGAGAGCTACCCTGCCTTGCGGGCCTCGTCCTTGCTAAGTAGGCGGAAAAAACTCCGGCTGAGTCCGAGTTGCGAGAGCATAACGCCTAAATCCTAGCTCATTCTTAATTGGCGTCCATTTAGTCGCCAAGTGTCTCGCTTCGTGACCGTCCGCATGAGCGATTGCATAAATCCTAGGAACCAGGACCCGGGGGCCCCTGGGCTCGATCTCTCCGGTATAGAGGTATGATTCCTCAGGGCTCCTTGTTATGACTGTATATGGTACCAGCATGATGTAGTACCCGAAACCACTTTTCTTAGTTGTTCCTTCTTTTCTTCATTGGCATAATATATCCGAAAAAGTATTCCTATTCTGAGGGCCACTGTTCTTTCCTCTGCCTCAGCAGTCTGCCGACGCCGCTGGGCTTGAGATGTCGGCTCAGGGCCCCAGCCTTTCCAAAGTGGCCCCGGAGGAGGTTTCAAAGGCTGATGCCATGAAGGAGCCTGCGTCCAGCCTGGCGTCCCATCGGGGGCTTGTCATTTCAACGGAATCGGGCCACTCGGTCGTCGAATTGGTGCCCTATTATAGAATCGATCGAGTCAGTACCCAAAGCCCTAAACCCCAAAACCCTGCCTCCTGGACCGTATGAATTCTCGAGGTAGAATGGCCCTATGGTTACACCGCGGCCCTCTGGAGAAGTTGCAAAACAAGTCCCAACACCTCATAAACTCGACATACTGCAGGAACCTGAATAGTTAGTAATACCATTCTTGAGGGCTCCTTCACGCATTGATAGTGGAGCATACCGCCGCACCCCCCTATGTTACTTACATCCTCCCATCTTGAACCTCTCCCCCCCTCAACAGCTGGGCGGCGAAGGCTTCTATGGGGCCATCCCCCGATTGCTCACCTACAGCCCAGACAAGATCTGGACCTTCTCGGCTCCCTTTGTGGTCCGAGACCTCACCGTCTGCAACGCTGTGAGTACCCTTGCTGTGGTTTGTTGACGCGGTAGTTTTGGACTTCGGAAGGATCACCGAACTTGTCTTACAACTGAGTGTGTTTGTGAAGCTGCATTCTGCGCTCGGTACTGGTACTGGGGAAATAAGGCAATGTGCTCCCCCACCTCGTGGCTTTGCTCTACGCCTTGATTCTGATGATCATCTTATGCTTCCTCAGTGGTTGAGCACTCTTTTGGTGTATGTTCCTTCATTGGTCGGTATTTCTTAGAATTGATTAGTATTTTGGCTATAGGGAAGTCATCTACTAGGTTTCACTGCTTTTCCAGATGGCGAGATCGGAGAGGGGAAGGCCTGCGAAGTAGGCAACGTCCAAATGTGCCAGCTGGAGGAGACCATGAAGAACGCCAAGGTTGAGGGACCGCAGAGAGCCCCCCCCTGTGTAAAGCATAGAAACCTACCCGATGTTGCAGTGAGATTTACCTGCATGTTAAAGTAATATTCTGGCTCCTGAAGGTTGAGTTTCGCTTCCTGGTGGCCTTTGTGCTTGCGGGCTTTGTAGCAATGACCGTGGGAACATGGCATTCGCGGAGGACGACGTATGCTGCCCTTTGCGGCAACGTCCGCAATCTGATCGTGCAGCTCGCAACTTTTCTCCCGGTGGACAAGAGCAACCAACAGCTTATGCAAGAGCGACGCAAGCTGGGTCGATGGGTGATTCTGGCCTTTGAACTGGCGCTGCAGAAGGCTCGGGGGAAGATGGATGCACTCGAGACGCGCGAGTTCTTGGAAAGCACCAAGACGGTGCTCCCTGCAGAGTGGAACGCCATGGTCGCCGGCGATCGCCACACAACGGTCATCGCTTGGATTCAGCAGAAGTGTGTTGCTCTTCAGAAAGACGGAGTGCTCCTTGCACAAGCCTTGCCCAAAATTTCAGAAGACATCAGCAGTCTGCGTGGCAAAGCCAACGACTTAATGGGATGCCTTGAACAAGACAAGCCTTACGCTTATTCCTCCCTCGTGGGGTTGCTGGTCAACATCAACCTTCTCATCATGTGCACCTGGAAAGGCGTAGAGTGGTCAATCTGGTGCCGCAGCTTTGGTGACAAGCTCTTCGAGCAACCGAAGTTTTGGCTCGATCTGCTTGTGCTGGTGGTTTGGAACATGTCCTATCGTGCACTCTATGACCTGACTACCACGCTTCACAACCCTTTCGGTGCCCGGCCCCTCGATGCTGGGTCCGGAATTTCAGGAATTCCTTTTAAGTTACTACTAGTACCGTGGTACGGATACCTAACACTACAGTGCACAGGAATGCGCAAGTTCTGATAATAACTCTTCAAGAGATGCTATGAAATCTTCACACAAGCCGACAAGTGCCGTCACGAAACGCTACGACACACAACACCGGTAGAGTCGCTGTAACACCTTTTTACACACACGTCACTCACAGGAGCCCTGACGAATGAAGCCTATAGCACAAAGCCCTTATGCAAACCGCAGTACCGGTAGCTCAGAAAGGATGTCTACCACGAGACCATCTCGAAGGGCCTCCGGTCTTTAGCCGAGCAGATGATGGAGGGAGCGAGCGTCGCTCCCGAGGATGGCTGAAGGGCTTCGCATGATGAGGAAATTTAATTAACGTAGGGGCCGGATGACTCCATAACAGTTCCCCCCTCTAGTCCCCATTATAGTATACAGTAGAACCGTTTATTAGATCCAAATTTTTCATTTTTTTACGAACCTGTGTTGCTTCTGATTCTGCTGGAAGCATCTAGCTACCGTAGGATTTGGTAGGGCATGAGGATTTTACAGGAGGAGGCTTCGGGGTTCGAGATTTGAACGTTCGTCGCCTAGGAAGCAGGGTTTGCTGTGTTGGTGTTTTGGCTCTTGGGGTTTGCAAGGTTTCACAAGAGTCACAGACTCTATGTTTCCGATGCAGAGCTTGATGCTTCGCGTGATGCGAAGCAGAAAAGCTCCTTGAGACAAGGGTTGGAAACAAAAAAACAGAGATCCGCTACTAAACTACGCAATCTGCTGCAGCACATCGTCGTCCGCATAGCTTCATCCTTGCCTGAAGAGCATCCGCAGGGCATGGGGAACATAATCATAAGGCCAGACAATCCTTCTGGCCTTTGGGTTGGGTCAAACTGGGACACTTGCTCGATCATGGCAAATGCGGAGAAGCCTATAGAACAACGTGCCCCAAAACGTGTTACCTTCATGTGGATTTCTTCTAACGTGCACAGAGGCCCCGCCGAGTGATGAATTGATGGCTGATGCCAAGAGAACAACGCACAATTGCTCTCATTGTTGACTCTATTATAAACAGACTCGTAGCCCCGGCTCGACTGTCATGAAAGCATTTGTAGAAGTCGATACCCGTAGCTTTCAAAGGAAGTTTAATCATGTCCCCGGGTAACAAAGGTCGCCGTGCTGAAGCATATCGAAAGGTCGAGAACCTGCACGTTCAACGGGGCAACAGTGTGCCCTTTGACTTTACCGAGCTCTTCAAGAAACATGAAAGAAGCCCTTACAGAGCCCTTCTTGAAAACCAAGCCCGTTTAGCGCCCGGATACAACCCTTACGAAACCCCTACAGAACCCTCAGCCTTGCACACGCCAAGGCGGAGATGCGACCGGATTGCTTCTCATGTTCCCATCCGGCTTCCTCGTCGCACCAGGGGTTCTTCAACGCATCTATAAAGGGGTCTATACCGGTTCTGTAAGGGTTTCCTGCAAGGTTTTTACAAAGGGAGCTAGAAGGGTTCTATGAAGGGTTTGGACTTTGAGGTTGAAGTCTGTAAGGGCTCCATGGTGGAATCAGGGCTTTGAGGTTTGGGGCTTCAGGCTTGCCGCCTTTTCGTTTCGGATAGCCGCCTGCCCGTAAGCCTTCATGCCACATCCAACTCTTTGTGAACCATCTGTGAAGCTGGTTAGCCATGGGAAGAGGCTGAGTTGTTCCAGAAAGAAAACTGGAACTCTAGCTGCGCCTGTCTGTTGCAGAACTGCAAGACCATAGAAGCCATGCACTAGCCCTGAAACCAATCTCCAACAAACTAGTACCAGCAGCCTGATGAGGACCTACCATGTTTTGGCTTTGCCAGCCCTGAACAACCCTAAACCGCCAAATCTTACAAGTTTCCCACAAACCCAAAATTGTGCAGCGACAACAATCCTAAACCTCCTAAACGAAGATCTTGTCAAGCAAACCCGGTACGAACCAATAGAAACCAAACCCTAGAAGACCCTCTAGCATCAGAAACTGTACAAAACGCGATACCCCAGGAAGGTCCGGTAGAATCCTTGCAAAACATCCTATGGAAAACATTTCAAGACACTAAACCCCAAGCTCAAAAACCTAAACGCTAAGTACCTGAAGGTCAAGCCACGGGCTGGGCAGCTGCCGATATCCTGCCACGCACTTGGTCGACGTTTTGGGGGGCTTCTTGAAAACTATCGGGCTTTGAGGTTTTTGGTTTTAAGGCGTTTAGGTGTGTAAGGATTAAGAGTTTTGGGCGTAGGATTGAGTTTAGGATTTAGGAACTTCTATTTAGGGTTTAGGGTTTAGGGCTAGGGTTTAGGGCTTGTGCGGCTTATTTTTTGTTTTACTAGGGGCTTGACTACGTAGCAATGATCTCGATATGCCACAAACCCTGCCTAAGGCCGCTATATGTGCTTTAAGGTCTCCAAGAGCATCTACACGTTGCTCACTTTCTAAGCGGAGACGGTTTCAGTTTGCATATGTAGGAGTCTGAGACAGCCGCGCGGCTCAGCACGCCATGGTTTATCACTCAGTTGTGGTTTGCAGCAAGCGACCAGCAGGGTGTACTGTACAATCCTACAGCGGATGGACAAGATCCTGTGGTGCTTTTGTTGTTTTTTTCAGGAATCTGTCATGCTTCCTATGCCACGGGCCGCTAAGCCCTGAACCCTGGCTATAACCCTTAAGAGGCCACATTGCATTGAACCGTTTTGGCCAAGGCTCGGACGGGCACGACCCTCGGCGAAGTTGCCTGTGACGATCCCGCTGTCAGAGGCCTTCGCTGCAGGGCCCGAAATTGCCACGTAACAGAGAGGCCTTGATAATTACGCATACTATTGTGCGGGCTCTTTATGATAATCATAGTATAATACCCCCCTAACCTTTTCTAATCATTACACAAGGCCTCTACATTAGCAGTTTAGAGGTTTCGGGGCTTAGTGCTGCTGTATGAACTGAACTCGCAATTTGTTGGTCTCACTGGGCTGATACGATTGCAGGGTTCGGGCTTAAGGTATACTTGACGGGCCTGGGCTTCGGGGTTTACAGTCAAGGATTCGGCAAGACACGGTTTAGGGTATAGGGGGCGTTACTGCACCGACGGGGTGTCGTGCGTCATTGCGACCACCCACCACAGATGCTTCAACATTCCAAGCCTGGTTGGGCTCTATAAAGTAGCCAGAGCTCCGATACAGCGCCCCCCCCCCCCCCCCCCCCGAAAAATGTAACTGACACGGCCTTCTAGCCCTGCTTGCACACAGCAGCCTCGGACCTATAATGCACATTGTCTGGGGTGGAATTATTTCGCCAGACAAGTACACAAGTCAGAAGGCAAATCCTAGACGCCGAAAAGGCTGATTATGAAGCCGCGAACCCTGGAGCAACCCCCAGTTCCAGGAAAGAAGGGACCCGATAACCGACGCCACAACGCTTGACGATTCCCAGAGAAACCACTCGTTACTGCTCCCCTTTGTCATCAGGGAATCTTCTCGCTGCAGCGAAAGCTGCAGGTAGCAGTACCGATTCATAGTCTATTATAAACTGCTATACTCATTATTATAAAGAATAGCACTCATCCGAGCCTTTGTGATTTTCGAGGCCCCTACATACAATTCTCACAAAAACCGATCAAACTCTGAATAAGGCCCCTCTGTTACGGCAAGGCCCCTTTTCTGCCTCAACCCATGAGATCACCTGCCTTTTTGCAGGAAGACGTCCTGCCAGGGACCCAGTGAGATGTTTCCAAACCCTACTCGTAAGTTTTCAAGTGCCGAACTATAGCAACTACGCTGCTGCTTGCGACAACCTGCTCAGAGCTGATTTCACTTGAAGCACAAGGGGTTGTCAAGAGCCAATGGGGATTGAAGCTTAACTGACAAGCGGATGCTGCTAGCTACCTGCCGTTAGGTGGGATGAACCTCCAACATCGGTTCGAGCTGCTTCGACTTCCTCTGCACTGTGTCATACTACTCAACGCCCTCAACCCTGCATAATAAATCTTTGCAGAGACCTTTTGACGCTTCTTCAACTTACCTCGACCCTGAGTTGCAGCATCTGATGACGACCTATACAGGTTGGTTAGGGCCCTTAGTAAGACTGCCGGTGTAACCAAGCGAAGTATTGCAATTTGGGTCCTGGCAAGCAACTGCTCGAGTTTAATTGAAGGTGCGACGACGTTCTAGGCTTCAGGTTGTGCACATCGTAAGATTTGCAGGAAAATGCAGAACAGATGCAATATGGACAGAGGAAGATTCGGGCTTGGAATCCTTGTATAATTTTGGGCATGAAACATTTTGGTTTATACGGCTTGGCATTCTTGCGCACTCCATCTTTGGGGGCTGGATTGGTATGAGAATCCCTTATAAGGCTCGTCAGTATGGGTGGTTGTCAAAATTATGGTTCCTTGTTGGGTCCCTATTCTAATACGGCTCCTAGAATTTAAGGTACCCAAGAAGCGACCCTAATTGTGACAACTACCCATATGTTTCCAGTTTGAAGCCTCCCGGGATCCAGGTCTAACTTCACTTCTTCCAGTACTTCTGACACCCGCCAAGTCCCGCAGGGTAGTAAACAACACAAATCGCTGGAGGCCTCCATGCAAGCAGGAGAAGTGCGAGTACAAAGACGCTTCGACTGGGAATGGAAGTATATAAAAAATACAGACAGCAAATCCGTAAACAGTGTTATTGAAGTGTTTATGCGCGATGGTTTTTTGAAGACACTGAAACGCTTCGTTTCCAATCCTGCGCTCGACTAGCCTTAGCTCCAAGCTTGAAACATGGCATTCTTTCGCAAAGCCTTTGTTTTGGGCAACGGCTCCTAGAGCACCTTGAGTTATTCCCTTGCAGAGTGTCGGTCAAGGAACTCGAGTGCAACATCAGGAAGCTGCAGCAAAGCTGAGGCACTTAAAGCGATTGCCAACCCTTCAACAACCCAACAAGCATCAACCAGTTGCGCCCAGCCAAGGAAAAGCTCTTCGGAGGCTGGCACATGTATGATGGCCGATGCCTGAGAAGACCGTTGTAGGTTTCAGGCTGCACAGGCCCTGGATTTAGTTGCCCTGCTGCCTCATTGTCGAAGGACCCCAACTACATTTTTGTTCTGCCATTTTCTGCCGATACCATAATATAAAGGATGAAACATCTCGGCAGCCTGTAATAAGCCTGCCTTGTGCGAGTGTGAGCGTCGAAACCCCTGTAAGCAGAGGGGGAGTCGGGCTAAAGAGCTTAATGGGCTGCAGTCCAATGGACGAGCACTTTAGCTTAAACCACCCGGCCTAAGCTCTGAACACAACTGACCGGAAGCACGTCTCTTATTCAAGGGCATTGCGAGATCCTGCAGTTCATATGAAAAGACAAGCTGCACCCTAAACCCAAGTGCTACTGGAATGACGAAGAAGCGCAAACACATGTTCTTAAAACCTCCATGTAAACATCTAGGAGCCCTTTCGCACTGTAACCCCTGTATCGCCTGTACTGAATGACTGACTAAAAGGCCGATCAGTGGCATTCCCGTTCGGCTTTGGGCTGACCTACACGCTGCTTGGTGGCACTTCGTGCTACAAGGATTTCATGGCTTCACAGTTTGCGGGCTTCAGGGTTTGATGGTGCATAGGGTTTTGGGTAGTTTGGTGGCCCATTTCCCGGCCGGTGGGGACTTAATGCTGTGAAGCTTGCTGCGACTTCGCCAACGACTTTTAGCTTCGTGGCTTGGCTTTGCATGGTGACCTTGGGCCGTTCATTGGAGAGGTTGCAGGCCTTGTTCTCATTTGAACACCATGCCCAGTCGCGCTTTAGGGCCTGGAAGGGCTTCTTCTCAGCTTTGGATTCTACATCTTCATCTTAGGCTGTGGGTTCTGTCGGTTTTCAGACTACGGTTCAGGTAGACTTAAAGCTGAAGTGATAGTGCAACTCCTTAGTGTGTAAACTTCCAAAGCTTTCGAGTATAGGGTTTCTGCTGTGGGGTGCCGAGCTTGTACTTCCACGAAACCCTGAACCCGAGACTCGAAACCAGCATCTTATCAAAAGCCCTATGCCATGAACCTTGAACCCGACAACCCCAAAGCCTAGGAAGTTCGAGTACTCTCCCGGCGATATGCCGGGCACCCGGCTGCTGCAGGGGAGAACCGACTGTTGAGATGCCCCGTGCGGGTCGGCTTGGGTGTTTACGGGTTCAGGTTTAGGGTTCAGAGCTTTGGGATTTCGGGCTTCAAGCTTTTTGAATGTGGGTGATTTAGGGTCCCGGGTTCGGTGACCAGAGGCTTTGCCACTGGTAGCAAGCCATGTTTTTCGCAAGAACATTGAGAGTCTCAGGTTTGTATGTTTGTCGCCAGCATGTGTTTTTTCGGTCAGGGTCTTCGGTGTTTAAGCCGACAAGGGAATCATGGACCAGCCAGCTTCCTCCTGATATCATGCTAACCAAAGTATAGAAGCCGGATTTCATCCAATTCAGTAGGGTTCCTGATCGTATGTACACTATACAATGTACCCTAAGACCTTGCTCTAATTCTTATTGCCCCATTACTACTGCAGTGGAAGCCCTCCGCTGCATGGCAACAAGCGTGGCGACAATGATCGCCACGATGGTCCAAGTGGTGACGGTGAGGCACAAGGCGAGGAGCCCGCTATGGCAAGTGACGCCATCATCTCAAAGACTCTCATGTGAGGAGTCGCAGTCCGATAACACTGACAATCTTGAGACATGCGGGAATGCGTTGGAGGAAGGGGGCGGCTTGACTCTTAGACCAAGCTCAAGATGTTTCAGATGCGTATTAAGAAGCTCAAGCAGCACCTGAAAACCGAGAGCAATCAGTTTTCGAGATGAAGCCAAGGGGCCAAGAGGAGGATGAACAGCGCTGTGGGGCTCGTGACAACGATGTGAACCTCAATATAGTGGTGGATGGTGTTAAGCAGTTTACCGGGAGTTCCCTATACCTGTACCTTCTCAATAATACCCATAGCCTGTCATACTGACAAACCTTACGAAGTCACGAAGCGCCCAAGTCTAGACCGGATCGTTCATCTGCCTGGATGGCAGACGGCGGCTAATTAAAGCACACAAACATACACCATGGAAGCCCGGGTGCAGTGCCTTTACAAAGTTTATGTGTATCTTGTTGGGCAGTCTGCTGAAGCGCGAAAGAATCGAAACCCTCAACACCCAAGCCACTAAAGACCCCCAAACCCTAAACCCCTAAACTAAATGCTAAACCCTATACCGAAAGCACTAAAGATCCTTGGAGGCCTTCGGCAAGCGGAAGGGCAGAAAGCCTAAACTCTCGCATCTTCGAACCTGGTCTTTTCTCAACCTTGCTGAGGCGAAACGATCGATCGACCTTAAACCGTGCACTCTAGGGTTCAGGGTTTCTGGGGCTTAGGTTCGTGTTTCGGTTTTGGGGCTTATGAGCTCTTTGACCTGACGTCGTCCCGGCCTCGCTTTCGAGGTCCGACGTCTCGGAGAGCGCCTCGCGCACACTGAGTGTCGAAGTGAGGAATGCCGGACCCTCGAAGGGTTTAGGGTTGCGGAGCTCAGGGCTAACTAGTTAGCTAGTGGTGTAGTGCAGGGGTTTAAATTTAAATAGCGGTCTAGGGTATGGTTTAGCAGTATGCTAGGTATGTTTGAGGGCTGTGGATACAGGATACGAGATTCTCGGGTTCAGAGTCTTAGGCCGGTTGAGGCCTTTTCGTTGTGGGGTTTGTGGTTTCAGCGTTTCAGGGCATTTGATGTTAAGGGTTCGATTGGGATTGGAGGGGCAGGTGCCAACATCATGGGGATTATAGTTTCTGAGTCCGTGCCCCACCACTTTAGCCGAGAAAGCTGAAACAGTATCGCCTGAAGTCTTTTCAGATATGGCAAAAGTTAGAATATACACTAAATCCCGAGTCTGATGATTATCAACCTCAAGCATAAACGACCCCCCTGAACCCCAAACCGTGTCGGCCTGTGAGGGCACACAGGAGAAGCTTGTGGTTGACCAGAGCTTAAAGCAATGGAGGTATCCTGAAGTGCCCACAGTACGATTATGTACCATGCTTCCCATAATTAGTATAGTTGCGATACCTCAAGGTGATGACGGAGTTTGATTCTCTCGGCCGCAGGGACTCTGGTGTTGTTATGCCTTTCAGGCTTTACTTAACCTCAATCCTAAGTCCCCCCTCAAGGCCCACACTCCCCACTCTACCGTGTTAATGTTAAGGAAGCCTTTGTCGAAACCCAACCTGACAAACGTAGTTTTCTCATTATTCTTATAACCCAACATCTAAACCTTAATCGCCAGACGCCAATCCAAACGGTGCCAGTGCAACACAAATTCATCGCTTAGGTTGGCGACGCAGCAGGAAGCGATATCGTGCAGCTTTACCTCAGTGGCTTTGGCCTGTGGGACTTAATTCGTGAGGGTCCAAAGTACTTCATGGGTCTGGGGTTTCCAGGTTTAATCTTTTGGAGTTGTAAGTTTAGGGAAGTTGCGCTTTACGGCATTAGCGCATGTGGTTTCGGACTCAGCATTCAGGATTGTTGGTTCTTGGTTGTTGAAGGGTTAGGCACACCTGGTGCTTCGTTGGGACTCTTGCTAATGTTGCAGCAATTCGAGATGGTCTTCGAATCCGTTTTTGTAGTATCTACCATATTTGTTGTCAACTAGAATCTCTTATACTGTACTGCAATTTACATATAGACAAAGATATATGTATGTAAATTAAGGGTTTCGGGGTGTCCGAGGCTCCACCCTCAGATTCAAACCTGTGTTTCAATTCTTGGAGTCTCGCGAAGGAGGAAGAATCCGTAGCCCGTTCCTGGCATATACGGGAGATCTCCTGGCTCAAGAGAGGATTTGAGGATTCAATGCCAGGGCGGGGCAGGTGGATCATTATATATTGCCTTACAGAACGTGTGTTGTAGAGATCTCCGAAGTACTTCGGCTCCTCTCCGACAAGGACTCGGGGTGCTTTGTCATGTATACGTGATGCTATTCCCAAAAAACGCTATATAATCTAACTGCTCGTTTCCTGATATTACTGCAAGGGAAGGTGGTTTGCCTGAAGCTTCAGCACTTTAGGAATGCGGGAGCCGCCTTTCCTCTTACCCTACAGTTTAGCGCTCCCCTCCAGGAAGCACGCTCAGCATCCACCGCAGCCTTTTCGTGCATTGAATTAAGGAAACGTGCCGAGGCTTCAGATGCCTGAGGGCGATCACATCGGCGTATTCTTCCTTATGACGGCAGTGAAGCACTTATGGCTTATGGATGCTTATCATCATTGTAAAGCTCTTGCACACATGCATTCATGGGTTAATGATATTGATCTGCACATCTGTAACGTTTCATGCACGGTCTTGTCGGAAGATGCCTGGGTCCATTGTAGATTTGACCACCTTTGCAAACCATGTCAGCCATGGCGTTTCCTGCGGCCTCATGGGCAAATGGACCCGCTGTGCCTAGCACCTCGGCCACTTCCGCGCCGTCGCGGCCGGCGAGGCAGCTACGTTGTGCACTGTTTGAACTGTCTACCTATTGCTCAAAGCTTTGTTTCTATGCACCCCACAGTCCCAAGACCTAAACTCCGTGCTGCATTTCCACACGAACAGCCCTCAACCCCTATAAACTAGATTTGTGTTTGCGTTTCTTTGGTGTCTTTGAGACTTGTAGCTATCCTATGAAATCCTCTGACTAGTAACGCTGAACACCCTTGTTTTAGCACCCCTTGTTGCATTGGCGCTGGCCGGCACCCCATTCCGTGCTGAAACGTGCCTCTTGTAGGAGCGTTGTCTGCAACCCTGTATTCATAAACCCGATAAGCCCTATACGGATGGTTGTCAAAATTGTGGTCCGTTTTGGGTCCCTATTATATTACGGCGCTCATTATTTAGGGTAATTACCCAAAAAGGGACCTTAGTGCCTTAGTTTTGACAACTATCCATATGACAGCCAGGACGATGAGTCGCTGCCAGGCTAGTACGGCATTGCTCACAGCGGCTGCGCTGCAGGTGAAGCATTGTGTTGGTTTGGGCTTCAGGGTTTAGGGCTTTGGGTTTGGAATCAGGGATTCGGGTTGGCACTTGGGGTGCTGCAGGGTTTAGGGTTGTAGGGGGTGAGGTTTTCAGGACTTAGGCTTTAGTAGCTTTAGTGTGTAGGTTGTAGTTTTGCGGGGTGAGGATTCGAAACATGCCGCGGCCGGGGGGACCCAGAGCCTATAGCATTGTATCATCGTTGCTGACGCTACAGTCTGTGTTATTGATGCTATGTAGGAGCCCAGGTGGCTTGTATAGGATATGACTACACTCAGTATCGCGTATAGTATGTGTCCATTATTGAGTATGATCTTGGTTGGTGTGGAAGGTGCTCCTTAGGAAATGCTGGTGCGTGCATATTCTGGGTGTTGATTTGCGGACGCCAGGAATGAGCCCTCTGTCATAGAAGGGTTTTAGCCACAGATAGGCCCGGAGACAGCATCGTCCTACATGAGTAGCTGGGCTTTTCCTGACGCCAGTGCCAGACCCAGGACCTCGCAGTTGTCCACAAGCTCCAAAATGTGTTAAGAAGTGTGTAGCGCTCAAATTTGGGTAACAACCCCTTCAAGAGGATCCCTGAATGGAGAGCTTACCGACGTCTTCACGATTGGATTGCTCTCCCATTGTGCAACAGTCACATGCGCCGCATGCTTTGCCCTCCATGACCACCAGTTTTATTCTGGGGCTGAGCAGCGACAATACTTTGTGTAGGTAGCTTGGCTCCTAGCCTACAGCATGAGACACTTCCTGTTTGCCTCGTGCCAGGTTGCCCACGGCAGATGCTGTGCTTGCAGCTTGGGCTGCACGAGCCAGAATGCTGCTAGTTAGTTCACTAGTTGATGGTGGCATCCGCACAGAAGCGGATGTGTCATGGTTTAGGAATGAGGATACTCCTGAAAACATCATGTGAAGCTTTCAGGACCTTTGGCAGCATGCCTCATTTTAGCAATATGATGCTCCTTTCAAGGCCTATACCCCCGGAAACCCGGAATCAAGATCCCTTCAACTCCAACCCTACACCTTGAACCCTGAGCAGAAATTACCCTTCGAGCCTATACCACCGAGGCCGATCAAGACATAGGACCTGCCGTCGGGCTCCCCAGCCCCGCGCGGTGGTCCAGGCAGACAGGGGGCTTGTCGTATTGCCGAAGTGCCATTACCTTGACCTTCAAATCGAAGCAAGGTTCCACCAATCAAAGGCCTACATTAGAGTATGAGCGCCGGGCTGTGTGTCTTCACAGTCGGGTCCAGGCAGGCTCGGGGGTTTGGGGTTCAGGGTTTTAGAGTTCAGAGCCTGAGGCAGCTAAAATGTGTCCCCAGTTTGGGGTTCCTAAACCCTAAGATGCCTAAACCGTATGAATGAGCCCTAAAACCTCCTAATTAAGCCCTATATCACTTCCTGTCAGATGCGCAGCGGCGGCGATGCAGAGACACCAGCAGCGAGCTGGTTCCTTTGGCAGATCCCTCTAGGTTGTGAGGTTTAGGTAAAAGGGTTTCAGGACTATATGAGGGTTCGTAGAGCAGAACAGCGCTTAAGGGCTCAGGGGCTACGGGCACAATCAGAGAGACCGGGAGTATGTATACGTGTCTAGCTACATGTTCATTCTGCTCATGTCAAATACCGGCATACTACATCATACGTTTGCATTTCTCATTCTTAATTAATTGAGCTCTTTGGGGTCTTTGGTGCCCAGGTGCCGCGGCTGCTCTGCTTTGGAGGATGCCGATGCGGCAGTGGCAGAGGTACTGGCCGAATGGCGACGCGCCTTTGGGAAGGCTGTTGTGCAGTGTCTTGTCGGGGTTCGATGGGTTTGTCAAAATTGTCGAGATATGGCATCAAGTCTAGAGTTGTCCATGGTTTTCGTAGAGCCTTTGTCCTTCAACGACTTGCATGGCTTCGGGTTCTGTTTTGGGCTGCTCGACTTGCATCACATGCCGTGCCTCCAGGACAGCGTGTCTCAGACGAACTATGACCCGGTCTCTGCAGCAAGCGAACCGCCTGTGCCGCAGCTCGGCAGAATGTGGCCCACTCTCAGGAAGAAACCGTGCTGAGAAAAGCACATCAGCTGTCCGATTCGTTATGGGTGCAGAAGATAGGCAATTGATTCCACCTCCGAAACTGTCACGACGTGATGGCAGGGATCAAAATGGCACTTAGAGCTGCAGGCATCTTGGACTTGGAGTTTGGAGATTTTGGTGTTCCCAGCAGATTAGGCTCAGGGCCCAGGAGTTACAAGAGCTTTACACGTTCTTGTTTTTGCAGGCCAGTCTGCCGCTCAAGGGGTTCAACAAGATGTTGAGGTTCAAACAACGCGTGCAAGCAGTGCAACTCTACGAAAAGATAATCTCAAACCCTACAGACCAGGGGACTTCAAGTCCGACTCATCCCGAAAGCCTATGGCTAATATAGGAGTCTTAATAATACAATATATGATTATTTTTTATAAGGCCCTTATATTACTTCAGGCCCTCGTAGACCCGGAGCTGAGGTTCGAAATGGTCGACAAAGTCTGGCACGACTGGCGGGCTGGCAATTTCGGCGCAAAGTCGCTGGCACAGGCGGCACCAGGACTGCAGGAGAGGCTTCCTTCTTAAGGGGTCGTAGGGTGTGCGGGGCATAGAGGTTTGGAGGGTTTTACGGCTTCGGTGCTCCAGGGTTTGGAGGATCGACAGGATGTCAGGTTTCAATTCCGGGTCTAGGGTTTAGGTATGCAGGGTGCTTCGCTTTAGGGTTGAGGGAACTTTTCTGAAACTTGGGAACGTTCTCTCCTAAGGTCGAGTCTTTTGGAGATGCGCGGCTGCGGGAGGCTTTCCAGCTCTTCCCCGACCAAGGCCCGTGCTTCGGAGGGGGCAGGGGGGCATTGATCATTGTTTCAAGAAGATCTTGTATGTCAGAGCTACCTACGCCCGAGGCGGAACTCGTAGTTCCTGGCGCACACGACCACTTCCACAACACTCACAGCCAAAAGCATGCTCGTCTAGTCAGCTGAGATACTGAAGACTTCGACGACCCCATGCGAACCCTACGTCACCCACACACCCCTCCAATGATACCCTAAACCCTTGCGGCCCCAACCCCTGAAAGCCATGCAAATACAACCCGAAAGCCCTATCCCTGTTGACTACGAGCCCTGAGAATCACACAACACCCTCAGAATTCTAATGCTTAGTTATCACCCAGACCACACTTGTACGTACCTGCAGTCCAAGACCAGCTGTGAAGGGATACAAGACCTGGGAAGGGCAGCCTTACAGCCGCTGCCCGAAAACGTGACAAGACCTCGTCTCCATGAGATGTCGTGCCAAACAGTGGTCGTGCAGACGGAAAATGGGAGCTTGAACAACACACCCGAATCAAAAACTCTACGCCCTCCGACACAGGCCCCAATCATCCCTCTAGCAGAAGTTCGAGACCCTGAAAGTAAACACTCATTCAAAACATAGCTATATTCAAGGGCACCCCCCAGTATATCCCCTACCCTGGTTCTTAAGTTCACAAGACAATTAAAACACAATTCCATGGGTCCCAGGAGCCGACCTTTTCTACCCGCAGTGGCGCGGGTCCCTTCGCTGGGAGAAGCCGGGGAGGCACCCAAACACACCTATTTCCACTTCAGGCTTGGATAGGTTTAGGGTTTGGGGTTCAGGAATTATAGGTTTAGGGTTCAGGGATTGGCCTCGTTGCAAAAAAAGGTTTTAGGGTTACGGGTTGATAAGGTCAAAGTAGCCTTGGAGGCTTAGATATGGTGTGAATGTGGCTCCTTGTTCTACTAAAGGTCCTCTAGCATTTCGCATTTGTCGTACGGGTTTTAGACGGATGTATCAAGGGGCGTTGTTGTGCAAATGCGGGCCCTTTTGGTCATCCCTTTCATTAGGGCTGCAATGCTCAGGTTTCATGTTCTGAAACTGCCACCCACCATGGGGCTTTGGCCCCGAGCCCTCAAAGGATGAGTCTCTGCAGCATGCGGGTAGCGGACTTTATGTTTTGACTTGTTTGTGCGGCTTGAGTGGTTTGTCGTTGTTGCCTTGGTCCGACGAGTGTGTCAAAGGTTGCGGGATCCTTGAGCCGGGTCGGTTTCCGTGTGGAGGGTGCTAACAAAACATCAGGGAGTAATTATTCGGGCTGGGGAGAATTAGGAGTACCTGCCATAAGGATCCCATCTCGTTCCCGTCGTTATACCATAGCAACAAAAGCTTTCAGTCGTTGATTTTCCTCTCGCTCCACTGCCAGCTCGTCTCTCAGCCTTTGATTTTCGGCCTGCACGCGTTGCAATTTCTTGTTCTTTCTCTTTTCGTCATTACTGGCGAGCGCCGCTTGCAAGCGAAGCTTCAGCTTGCCACGGTCTTCTCCGGTAGTTTCGGGTTGAGATTCGGCTTCTGGGTCTGCGATACTTCGTTTTGGGGTTGGGGGTTCCGGGTTAGGTTAGACAACTTTTAAGGTTCGGGGATTCGTAGTTTTGGGGTTTAGGGTGCTTCAAGGGCGTCAGGATCTGGATCGCTTCTTACCAAGGTCTCCAGAGCATTCCAAAACGTCTGTAAGAGAGAGCCAGCGGCTAGCTGCTGATTCGTGGAACTTTCTTCCGAAGCTGCAGGAAAGGCCTTGGGCGTCTGAGATGAGAGCTGGGGGCAGAGGGTGTGAGGGAGTGTTGCAAACTCGATCACGCAGAATGTCAAACCTATAAGGTTCCGGATCGTTGGCTTACGACTTTGACTAAGTTAGAAGGTCTGAGGGGAAGCGACTAAGAAGGATGGGGCCTTTCAACTTCCGATAACCAACAATTCCAATAACTTCTGTTCTTGTTAGATCGGCGAGATTGAACGCAAAGGAACAACATGTAGCCCGTACAGATTGTCACCTCGCAGCCCTATATGCGTATGTGGCATGGACCTTTAGGGTCTATTTGGCAATCCCGCTGGGCTTTGTACTTAAACTGCAACAACACCACGGCGACAAGGACGACGACGACTCGGTTTAGCACGACGACGACTGGGTTCAGCACGGCGACGACAAGGTCTGGCACGACGGTTACATCGGGAGGCCGAAGCGTGTACAGTGTAAAGGTTTCGACAGGAGTTTACGGGTCTAGGGTCTTAGCTCCTAACTATGGTTTACCGGGGTCAGTATACTATGGAAGATCTAAGGTTTGGAGTTTATGAGGATTTAGATGGTTTTACGCTCTCACAACTCGGGCATGCCAGGCGACGTTCTCCGTGCTGGTTTTAGGGTCTATCACAATGTCCTCCCGTCCCTCTCGCGCCGGGAACCATCAAGAATCTGTCTTGTGTATCACTCGTCCTGTTTCTTTCTCTCACCGTTCCTCTTCCTGCCTATCCACTCTGCCGTTTGTCAAGAAGACACAGAAATTGAAGTCATGACAGAGGAATAGGCATGAAGATGGACGAAGTGAACTCTTCATTCTCTCGTCTCTCCCTTCTCTCCTTCCTTTGATTGATCCTTTTTCTGTTTCTTTTCTTGTCGCCTTCTGCTTTCAATGACAGGGGTAACACGAGGGAGGTCTCGCTTCCGCCTCTCTCTCTCTCTCTCTCTCTCTCTCTCGCTCTGTCTTCCTCTCTGCCGTGTCTCGCTCTCTCATCTCTTCTGTCCCCTCTTTCCTTGCTCCGTTGCTGGAAGGAATCGAAAACAGAAGCGAAGACATAAGATGGAGGAAGATGGTTGGGAGAAGGAAGGTGGATTCCTCCCTCACTCGGCTCTTTGATTTTTTGGCTCTTGCCTTCTTTTCTCTGCTCCTATCCTTCTTCACAATTAGAAGGAGAAGCGACAAGAACGGAGAGCTCAGGGAGAGCAAGTGATACTGTTCCTCATAATCTCCTCCTTCCTCGTGTTCATTGCGTTGTCCATCTCCCCCTCGCTCTCTCTCTCTCTCTCTCTCTCTCTCTCTCTCTCTCTCTCTCTCTCTCTCTCTCTCTCTCTCTCGCTCTCTCTCTCTCTCCCTCCATCCTTTCCTCTCTACTTCTGCACATTTACTTTTCCACTTCTCTCGCCTGCTACATTATGCTTGCTTTGATACTTATCTTTAACTTTCTCTCACTCTCTTTGTCCCATCGCTTGCCCTGTTCCTTCTCCTCCTCCCTTCCCTGCCTCCCGTCCTTCTCCCCTTATCACTCAGAAGGAAGAAGGAAGACTCACAAGGAGAAAGACAAGGGAGTAAGAAAACAGACAAAACAAACGGAGAGAGAATCCGAGAAAGGAGCCATAAGGGACGAAATACAGAAACAAAGAGAGAAACTAAGGGGGAAAGATAATCAAAAAGAGAGACAGAAAGAGGAGGCGATGCATAAAGCAGCCGACAGTGCCTTGACCTCCACGTCTATTCATTCTTTGTTCTTGTCCTATCACACTGTCTCATTGGTGATAAACCAGGAAGAGCTTGTGGAGGGAGACGAGGAAGAAGTGTTCTCCTCTTCACTCACCTTGTGCCCTTCCTCTCCCACCGCTCGCCCGCTCTCCTTTCTTTGATTTTCTTGTCTGGCGGAAAAGTGGGAACCAGGAAGGAAAGTGGAGAAGGGAAAAGACGAGATTGAGAAATGACAGAAAGAAGAGAGATACAGAGAGAGCGAGGGAGAGCTTCAAGCCCAGCAGAGGAAGAAGAGAGAGGAAGATAAGGGAAGGGGCAAGGGGTGGCCAGAAGAAGCGTAAGCCAAAGCTACGTATTGAAAGGGCGGAAGCCCCTTTCTCCTCTTCTTCCTCTTTGCTCTCTTATTTTTCTCTTAGCGCAGGGCATGCATGGAGCTAGGAAAGGGAAGGGGTCAAAGCGGATGAGAGAAAGTAACGGAGAGAGCTGTTCTTCGTCCCTTTCACCTCCTCCTCTCATTCTTCTGATGCTTACTCATGTCAGAAGGGTTTGGAAAGGAGTGAAGGCTAGGGCATGGACTGAAGCGAGGCAATAGGTGAAAGTGGATAAGAGAAAGTCATAGACAGAGAGTGCGGGAAGTCGAGTGCGAAAGAAAGAGAAACGAGGAAGACTAGGAAGAAGGACACAGAAGAGGAAGCCAGAGAGTACCAGTGTTGCCGTATCTCAAAGGATTCCGGGCCTCGCGAGGGCTTTGAGGAGGCTTGTAGGCGCCTTCAGACACTTCCACAACTTTCTGGAAGCCACCAACTTCCTCCCTAAGGGGGCCTCCCGAGGACATGAACACCAAACCGAGTATAAAGAAAGCAGGGGGATGTAGAGAAGCAGAGTGTGGTAAGAAGGAGCAAGGAGAATCAGTTCGCGTCTCCTCCTCTTTTCCTTTTTGAATGACCAGAGGAAAGAAAAGGATAAGGAGGAAAGGCTCTGCGAAGACATAAGGAAAGAAGAGCAGACAACAGAAAGGAAGCGGTAAGATGCGGGAAGACGGTTCGGAGAAGAAAGGAGAATTCCTCCTTCGCTCGCCTCTCTTACTTCCTTGCCCTTTGCCTTCTTCCTCTTCTCTTACCCTATTCATCTTCATAAGGAAGGAGAAATGAAAGAAACGGAGAGTTCAGGGCATGCAAAGGCAGAATGATCCGCCCTGGGGACGGGACTAGCCCGCGCGAAGACGCGCGAAGCGCGGGCTCGCGAAGCCGCGCGAAGCCGGCTTTAGGCGCGCGAAGCGCGCGCGAAGCGCGGGCGCGCGAAGCACGCGCGAAGCCACGCGAAGCGCGGGCGCGCGAAGCCGCGCGAAGCCGGCGCGAGGCGCGCGAAGCGCGCGCGAAGTGCGGGCGCGCGAAGCACGCGCGAAGCCGCGCGAAGCGCGCGAAGCCGTGCGAAGCCGCGCGAAGCGGCGCGAAGCCGGGCGCGCGCACACGCACGAAGCCTCGCGAAGCAGCCTGCGCGAAGCCGCGCGAAGCCACGCGAAGCGCGCGAAGCCGCCTAAAGCCGCGCGAAACCGAGCGCGCGCAGGGGCACGCGCGAAGCCATGCGAAGCAGCCCGCGCGAAGCCGCGCGCGCAGGTGTGCGCACGCAGAGTGCGCGCAGGTGCACGCACGAAGCCACGCGAAGCAGCCCGCGCGCGAAGCTGCGTGAAGCCGTGCGAAGCCGCGCGCGAAGGTGCGCGCACGCAGGTGCGCAAAGCCGGCGTCTGGTGCGCGAAGCCGCACGAAACATACCCAGATGCGCGCGCGAAGCATGCGCCACAAGTCACGCGAAGCAGCTCTCGTGAAGCCGCGGAAGCCGGCGCGAGCCGCGCAAAGCACGTGCGAAGCCACGCCAGCAGCCTGCATGCGCTTCGCTTCGCGCGAAGCCGCATGTGTATGTGCATGTGTGTCTGTGGTGATTTATATATGTATGTATTTATTATGTATGTATGAAATCCCCTCATCCGTTTAATAAAACGACGATCCATCGCTGGCCGCGAAGGTGCAAAACAAAACAAGCGAGCTCTGGATCTGCCTGCGCAGGGAGTGAAGCTGACACGTGGGAGAGAGAGAAAGTGATCGAGTCTGTAGAGGGCAACCACATCATTACCCAACATAGCTCGGTGGGGTGAGCGACAAGGAACATCATCAAGATCAAATCCCCACGCAAGTAGTAGTAGCAGTAGTTGTAGTAGTAGCAGCAGTAGCAGTAGTGGTAAGTAGCACGACATCAAGGGAGCTGGTGCTCGCC